TTATTATTATTATTATATGTTAGACTAATACTTCTGAGATAAATGCTCTTTGGGTCACTTGCAGCCATACTGTATATTACTTTGTATAAAATTCTTATGTGTCTATAAATATGCTATTTTTTAACTTTGTTTACTTTCTGCAGGGTATAAAGGGACCACCAGGGCAATCTGTGAGTTTAATGTTTAAAATATTTAAAAAAAATTCTAGATATTATATGATTAAGGGCATACCTATAGCCATATCAGAGCACGAGACTGCTTTGGGGTTTAGTTGCACAGGAGGTTCTGAATTGTCTGTTCTTCCTTAAAAGCAGCCAAGCAGTTTTTCACTGTAATTCTGCTTTAGAAATATGAAAGAGAGAAGCTACTAGATGCTATGTTCAGGTGCCATTCCACCAATTTTTTTAAATTAAATCTGAGTTAGAATTTTGAGTTTTGATTTTTGTACCATAAAATGTATCTAAAACCAAATAAATTTTTTTGGATAAAGTTTAGCTACGGTTAGAACCTCTGTCCCCTGCTCTATTTGTCCTGGTGACTATTGCCAACAGGACCGAAAGTTAGGAAACATTTTACATGTTTGAGTCATTACTGGAAAAAGATCTTACAATGCGAACACCTGTTCTGGATACCACAGTATAAGAAACTTCCCTTAACTTGTAAAGATTTCCTCTCTGTTGCATTCCAAGACATCTTTCTAAAATGTATATGGGTTTTACCTTTTAATTGCTTTTATGGATTAGGGTTAGTTATTCATTGATTATTACAGAATAGCACCAATAATGTATGTGGCATAGTGCACATTCACATTAGTTCCGACTTCTTTAAAGAGCTTACAGTCCCTATCATACATGCATACATACGAGGGCCAATTTAGACAGGAGCTATTTACCTACCAGCATGTCTTCAGATAGAAGAGTGGTCCAAAATTCCTGGAGAGAGGTGTAAGAAACTCATTGATGGTTACAGGAAGCAATTGATTTCAGTTATTTTTTTTTCAAGGCCTGTGCTACCAAATATTGAGGGTGTCAATAATTTTGTCCAGTCCATTTCTAGTGTTTTGTGTGGAATGTGTCAGGCTTGGCTTTTTTTCTCCACTTTTTTGTGTCATACCAATACAAACAAAAGAAAAAAACATGAGAATGCCTAAACATTTGTAATTGTAACAATTTTCTGTGTGAAGTGGTGCATTATCTGACAGAAATGCAGGGGTGCCAATATTTTTGGCCATGCCTGTATATCCCAAACTTTTTTTTATAGTTTTAGCAGATAAGGATTCGCTGGAATGATTAGTTCACTTCCTGTCTGGTAAATAGTAGGTATGCACCGAAATTTCGGTCGCCAAAACAAAGTGGTCGAAAATGATACTTTCGGTCAAAATGCCAAAAGTACCATATTTCAGCTGAAATTACAGTGCATCTCTAGTTTCTCTCACACAGCAGTGTCCAGCAGGGAGGGGAGAAACTGTCAGGAGGCCAAGCAGGGCGGGGAGGAGGGCACTGAGTGATCGCTGAGTGTTTGTAAATAATTGAGGACATAGTATATTTACTGTGTCCCCAATTATGAATGAACAGGAAGTGCTCAACATCATTGCCTGTTCATTCATGATTGTGGACATAGTAACTCATACTATATCCATAGTTTATTAATGAACAGGAGCACTCAGTATAGGGGCTTCCTGTTCATTCATAACAGGGGCTGCAGAAAAAGAGATTACATAGTTACATAGTATTTGGGGTTGAATAAAAACATACGTCCATCAAGTCCAACCCAAGATTGATGACTAAATCTCTTTTTCTATTTTAAAAGGGAAATATCAGGGGTCTGTTTAGACCCCTGATATTTCCCCAGAGCCAATGATAGTGAAGGTAAAAAATAAAAAATACAAATTTTAAATGCAAAAATAAAAATAAATAAATACAAATAAAAAATAAAATATACAAAAATTGAAAAGTAAAAATAAAATATTTAAAAAAAGGTTAGAACATTTTCTTTTCGGTTTTGGCCTGACAATGTTTTTGTTTTCAGTTTCGGTCAGAAAATGTAATTTCCGTGCACCGCTAGTAACGGCTTTTTCCCAGGACAGAAAGGGAGGGGAACAGCAAAGACAGAAGTAAAGATTTTGGGGTTTTTTAAGTAGGGAAATTCTAGAACCGCTGTCAGCTTTTTATTGTTGCCCGTTGTCCCTCACTTCCTGTCTGGTAAAAGAATGTTCACAGAAAAGAAAGTGAAGGAAAATCTTTCCAGGGTAGCCCCTGATAGAATAAAAACCTGACATCAGTTCTAAGCTTTTCCCATTCTATCAAAACTGAAAAAAAAAGGTTTTGGGTACAGAAACACTTTAAGATCAAGTATCAATCAAACATTATAGTGAATAATGAATAGCTTTTCTCTTTCAGTTCAATTACATAAAATTTGGAGTTTGGTCCTCTGGTGATTGTTTAGGCCTAAGGGCTGTGGGCTGGTCAACACTGTGATTTACTCTATGAAGAACAGATTGTTAAAATAATACATTTTAAAGGTTATCTAAATCTAAGAACAAAGACGTGAAGAAAGATGCAATATATACAATTTTTGTTCTTGGGTTTTTATAAGCTTTATTGTGATTATAAGAAAACACTAACAATTTGCCAGTGACAGCAAGTCATCTCAAGAAATTAGTCCTGTTGTTTTCCCTTTTTAACAATGAAAATAGGACGTTTATAAGTGCTTAGCAAATACCAGGTGATACTTGATGTACAGTATCCGCTAAGTCCTGGTTAGGCAATTGCAAGCCCTAGTTAAAGTATTAAAAATCAGAATTAAATTATATAAGCAGTTAAATAGATGTTTTTTTTAAATTCTACTTCTTGTTACCTGCAGTCTCTCAGCTCAGCTTTGATATGAATCTTGATTTAACCCCTCATATGAATCTTGATTTTTTTCCAGAAGAAACCATTGCATAAATAATATAGGTGATTTTTGTTAACCATGCAAATACGAAATACATTTCCATTCTTAAATAAATTATTTTATCTTAATTAGCCATTCACAGGTTTACAAACCGGCGGCTTTGATCTTCTTAACATGAACTCTAAAGGAGAGAAAGGAGAACGGGTAAGAACAAATTAAAACTCTTTGTACAACATTCAGAATTAAATGTTGTTATCACTCAATCAATATTGTAATTGGCTAATTAATGCCTTCAGTAAACAAAGGGGTAAAACCTTGTGAGGGCCAAAATGACTATTTTATATGAAAATACACTTCAGTAATTAGGAACAGACCTGCTTTACTCTACATATTGTCTTCATTTGCACAAATTTCAATTGCTAACTGTGTGGCATGATATAATTTTTACACATATCATTATGTACTTATTCTGAATATATATTTTTATGAACAGCACATTTTGATAATACAATGTATCAATTAAAAAAACATGTTTATCTTAGCTTTCTTTGGTAATTTAAAGGGTTATTAAACCCTTGCATGTTTTTGCATATATCTACGTCTAGCAAGCAGTAGATATATGCAAAACGATTAAAAAAAACATTTTTTTTCAAAGATTAATACTTGTGTCTTCACCGCTCACTCCCGTCCAATCATCTGAAAATTTCTCGGGCGGCCGCAAAGGATCTTGGGGCGGACGCATGCGCAGTTCAGATGTTCGGCCGGGAGATGAGGAGAGACACAAGGTAAGTCTATGGAGCAGCGTGCACCTGCACAGACTCTGTGGGACATGAAAGAAGAGGAGGACAGAGGAGTCAGCGCTGGATCGGAGACCTGGACCAGTGCTGGGGGGACAGCTAAAAACTAAAGGAAAGAAGAAGATCAGATTAACAGACATAAAACGCTTTTGACTTTATTGTCACTTTAAGGTTTGACCACTGTTGTAGCATGGCCCATCCATCCTTACTGGCGTTCAGATATTCATGTATCTGAAAATGGGCAGGGATTCAGTTCCCATGGTCTGCCATACCATGAACAGGATCTAATATCATCTTAAAATTCTCCCATGTATGCCTGTTTGTGAATGCCTATCAAACTCTATATATCTGTCCAGTAGTGTCTGTGCCTGCTCTCTGTATTCATCTTATGCTACCCATGAATGTCTGTGTGTGTAAAACTACCCACACACATGGGATGATGTTTCACCTGGATAAGGCTGCTAACTCTTTTCTTTAAAACATACAAAATATCACAATATAACTATTCTCAGGTGGAATAATTCATTGAGCAGGTGAGAAAACCTGTCGGGAGCACTGTTACATAATTACATAGTATTTGAGGTTGAATAAAGACACGGGTTCATCAAGTTCAACCTGTGTGTCTGTGTGTGTGCAGGGCATGCGTGCATGTGTGTATGTAAGTCCCTGTGTGGTCCTAGGTTTTAAGAGTATTTAAAATACAACCCATGGGTTGCCTCACTACAGGCACCCTGCCTGATCCTCTCCCCCTAACATACGTAGAGTAAAACATTTTTGGAAATAAAAAGGGTTTGCGGAGAGGTGTAACAGACTTAAGTATACTGTATATGATATTTTACATAGATCATTTACTGGAATTATATATTCTCTATAAGGCAATGTACAAATCATGAAACGAAACTCTATTTTAATAATTTATGCTATATTAATATAAATTTTGCTATTTTTATGTATGCGTGGTCTGTTACACCTCTCTGGAAATCCTATTTATTTCCAAAGAATGTTTACTCTAGGTTTTAAGAGTACCTGTACCCCTGTATGTTAAGTCTCTCAGGAAGGTGTGTTGCTCACCTCGGTAATAAACTAGTAGTAGAACTCTGTGCTCAAGTATGCTACCTAGCCTACAGCTACTGTGTATAATCACCCAGGGATGTATGAAAACTAAAACGTCCTAAACCCGGTGCTCCTAATTACAATAATATTTACATAAAAAACGACCTGAATACAATCAAAATCAGAAAATCTTACTGCCTGTGTAATACCAATACAAAAAAAAAAATATAGAAACAACCAAATTAGTAATATGCAGATATCGGCAACTGCTCCTGTGTGCGCAGTCTTAATAAAACCTTAAATCAATACAAAACATACAATCTGAATAAAACGTATAATCACGGTTCAAAATGAGATCTATCATAGTGCCATTTGCCTTGTCACAGGTGGGCACAGTTCACACCACCACCTAAAGGCTTGCCAAAAGCTTTCAAAATGCATTTGATGTTTACATTGCCCCTGTACAACCTTAAGCCCTTGTGAACTAGGCCTTACATATGATTAGCTGTGTTTGATCTCTTGGTTCTCCTACAATGCAGAAATACAATCTCAAGATAAAAAATATCACTTCACCCTCTGAGAATGACAAAAAATACCTATATAATTACTGTTTTCAGCTATATATCAACAACTGCAGTTTTCTCTTTTTAATCACAATTAGATTGTGCGCCGTAAAAAAATTTGTTCCATTTCGTTTCGTAATATCCGTTATTTCGTATTTCGTAATTCGTGTCCGAAACTCAATTCAGATTCGTACGAAATACAAATTTTCGTTAGTTTCTGCACATTTTCGTAACTTTACGAACATTCGTTATGATGAAGTCAAAAAGCCAAAATACCTTTGTTAATATTGGAGTCGATGGTAGTTGTTTCCGAAATACGAAATTCCGTTAACGTACTTTGGATCCGAATTTTGTATTTTGGATCAAAAAAACAAACTACCATCAACTCCAATATATTAACAAAGATATTTTGCTTTTTAACTTCATCATAACGAATGTTCATAACGTAACGAAATTACGTCAACGGAATTTCGTATTTCCTGCCTGTATTGTAATGCAACTCTCAGCAGCAGAAGAGAAAACCCTCTGATTGGTCAACCAAACGAAATACGAATTCCGTTAACGGATTTCGGATCTGAATTTCGGATTTCGTATAAAAAAAAAACTCATCAACTCCAATATTAACAAAGGTATTTTGCTTTTTAACTTCATCATAACGAATGTTCGTAACGGATCGAAATTCCGTCAACGGAATTTGGTATTTCCTGCCTGTATTGTAATGCAACCCTCAGCAGCAGCGGATCCGTATTTCGGATTAAAAAAAAATCTTGTCATGTTGTTCAACCTCATTTACAGGGGTAATATTAGTTCCCGTTTCAAAGAAATTCGGATCCGAAATTCGTTAACGGAATTTCGTATTTTGGATATAATTCGGAAACTGCAATTCGGATTTCGGATGCTTCCGAATTTCAGGAAAATTCGTATGAATTTCGATTCGTAACGAGACGAATCGCACATGTCTAATCACAATATAAAATCTTGTTTCTAATTACCATTATGTGTACTAAAGTAAATGTTCCTGTCATTTAATTGTACAGTACCAGATTGTCATCCAATAATTTGTTCTAGACCTTGGTTATTCAGTGTGCTGTGGGCTTGTTAACAGTGGTAATAGTTAATGTTTCTTAATGTGCTTCTTTTTTTTTTTGTTTCCCAAGATTAATCTTTATCTTATTACAGTTTCAGACACGTTGACAGCATTATTTTTAGCATTCTCCCACCTACCTTTTGACTCACTATTATCTTTGTGTATTTTTTATTGTTTGTGTCTAGTTTAAGGCAGTTTTCTGGATTTTTTTTCTTTTACATTCACACATTCTTTTATCACAATTAATTATGGATTAAGTGTTTTCGATGCCTTGCTTTGCAAGGCGTTCTGTCACATATGCTAAATTTCAAAGTGTTCTACTCAAGCTTGCATTTAATTTACCCTACAAATGTTTTACAGGAGGAGGATTTGCTGAGGACATATCAGTCCAGCAATAAGTCAGACCAAATAAGCAAGGCTTATTTGGTGATTATTTTGATAAGCTCAAGTGTAATATGAATTTATAGAATCCATAATTCATATTTTTTTTTGAGCAGCACTTCCCATTGGAATGCATTAAAAACAGTATGCTGTTTTCAAATTCAAGTGTTGAAAGGGGAATATCATTATGGTGATGTACTGGTTTTAGTTACTTCTATGTCTTGTTTGTCTACTCCTCCATCTCTCTTCACTATGGGCCTGGCTGTTACATATATTTATGTGAAAGGTAGTTATAAGGATGATAGAAGTATAGGCTCAGTTATGGCTTATGTCAGCCAGGGGACTGACAATGGGGACCCCAAAGTAAGTGTAATTTACAGACCTATATTTTCTTTTTATTTGAAATAATTATATTTTCTCATTATTTTATACAAGCTATATGAGGTTCAAAATGTTGTTTATTATAATTCTTTTCCCAGAAATTGTCTGATGACAGCATTATATATATTTATATTTTTTTTTATTATATGCCATATTTTAACATCATAGTATTCTTTTAGGGTCTGCCTGGGCAAGATGGTGTTCCTGGCCTTCCAGGGCGTCCTGGACGAACAGGTCCCCCTGGTCCTCCCGGCCTAATGGTAAATAATAAACAATGCTGTGTATTTTTATTTTTTTTATCTATGCATACATATCTCAGATCTTACATGAACAAATGGGTTTTTCTTAAAGCTGAACTCAACAGCTACAAACACAGCACATACACACATAAGTGAACTGCCCTGCATGACAAAGAGTTTGTCATTTTGTCAGTTAATTATTTTTGATTCATAAACCTGTGACAGACAGCACAGCCAGGAAAGTGCTGTTGTAGAGAAGTGGTGGAGAATCAATTAAATAACTATGCGCATCAAAATCCAGTTTTTCATGGCTCTAAACTTATTTGTTTATTTGTTTTTGCATGCCATTGACCCACCTGTTTTCTCCTTATGTCATTGAAAGTTGCAACACTCTGTTAGTTGTTGTGGCTTTGCTGACCCAGTGTAAGCATAATCCAGTCCATGCCTGGCAGCATATGCTCAAAGCTGGTTTGTGGTGTTTTATTCTTTTAGTAGGAGAATTTGCACAATGTTTCAACCAATTATATTGATTATATATATGCAACTAAGTATATATAAACTAAGTATATATACTTAGTTGCATATACAGTATGGTTGCACTGAAATAAGCATGCCCACTGAGTTTAATATTTATGAGGCTATTCACAAAGCTGCCGTTGAAAAACTGTTCTAAAATGTAGGAACATGTAAAAAAAAATAAAATAGTTTAAAGAAAAAAAATAAAATAAAAAATAATAAAACAAAAAATGCCTGCAAAGATTCCAGCAAAAGAAAAACAATTGGACGGAGCTAGCAGTGACAGCTAGCTCCGCCCAACTGTTTCCTATTGACCAGCACCTGCCAGAGTCTTCTAGCAGGTCTCAGGCCAATACATAACAACTGGGCATTTATATTGTTGTTTAATGACAGATCAGCATCCCCAGGTCATTTGGGGACGCTGACCTGTCATTACAACTGGGCGGAGCCCAGCTGTCATTTGCGTGGAGATCGGTCGGCTATGGCTGATCTTTCTCCACACATCGGCTGTCACTTCGGCCTTCGGCCCGGCTGAGCTGCTCGGCTGCCCTCTGCTGCTGTAGGGGCTATTGTGAATAGACCATACACCAGCTCTTCAGTTTGACTGAACCGAAGGGCAGAGGCGGCCGAAGAGAGCCAAAGGATCAGCCGAAGCTACGGCTGTATCCTTGGGCTCCATAGTGAAAAACCCCCTTAATCTGTAAAAACAGCAAAATACACAACATAAAGTAACAAAAATATTGAGACATATAGCAATATACGTCTCAATATTTTTGTTACGGCCACACTCCACGCTGAATCAGTTTATTGAAAGTTTTGGAACAGATGGAACTAACTGATTCACATTTTCTGAATATGGAGAAAATGTGATTTAATTATGATCTGTCCTGAGTGAACCATAAATTTGCAATGACTGTAATGTAATAGCTGGCTTAAATTAACCTTTGTTCAATTACAGGGTCATAAGGGCTTTCAAGGTGACAGGGTAAGAGCATTTATTTTTTTCAATGTCTATATTTGATATTTGGTGTATATATTTAGCTTACGCTCATGTGAATTTGAATTGTTGTTTCTTGGAGCTTCTTGGGGGTATATTGAATATATCATGGTTACCTGTTATTACTTAAAATGTCATAATACTCATTTTGTGTATTTTAGGGACTTCTAGGGTATCCAGGGCAACCAGGACCAAAAGGAGATAGAGTAAGCAGTTTACAAAAAGCTAAATTTGAGTTAGACGATGTTTATGATTGCTTTATTAACATTCTGTATAAACAGTGAATGGTTCATGTTGTCTTGTGTATGGTGTGTCTGAACATTGGTTGAGTTAAGGATGAAAGTCATGGCAAGTGCCAATAGTTCTGCCATCTAAATGAACACACCTAGATCTTTCACCGCCAGGCATTCTCAGTGATGGATCTGTCCATGTATGGCTAACCTTAGCGTAGCCCCTAGACATTAGAATACAGTCACCCTTATGCCTATAGGAGGTCTCCTGCCCCACCGGCTTGCAGAGTGTGAGAACAGATGATTATACAGGTTACCTGCCTTGATCACATTTGTTCATCTAAGAGGAAAATGGAGCCAGCAGAGTCTACCAGCCATTTAAAAACGTCCCACCCTCCTCCATAGCAACAAACCTGATGCTAAGAAAGCTGAGCTGTTATGTATTTTAACCTGGTATCCAATTCTGTTTCTTGAGGACAGTCAGATTTTGCAGATAGGAAAGAATTAGAAACCTAGGTAGAAAATTAGGTTTTACTGCTATCTGGGTCTGGGTCTGGGAAATATCCCTCACTTCCCATCACAGTGACAACTGTTCTTCCATACAGAAAGTGAAGGAGAATCTGAATAGGGACACCGATGGCAATAAATAGTTGTCAAAAGGTCTAGCCTTCCTCTACTATAAATAGGAAATCTTCCCAACGGAACTCCAGATAGACTTAAAAACCCAAAGTTTCTAATCCTTTCCCACTCTATGCAAAACTAAAAACGTTTTGACTGGACATACACTTTAATTTCCCTTTTTACATACAGCATGCTACACTACACCATATCTCGTTTGGGTTCTTTTAAGGTATTACCAAACCGATTCACTCTAAAGTATGTTAAATTGTATGTATTCCCATTTTTTATGTTTGTTTTGGGAAAAGTAGGGAAGGGTTAAAAGCATTTTTTAGGTTACTTTTTACTGTTTACATAATGTAGCAGGCGGTTTGCTTTCACTTCCTGTCCCAGTGACACAACAGGAAATTTTGAGGAAATCTCCCAAAGTGAAGAGAATGCCCCTTTTAGACAGCGGTCCCCAGATCAGAGGGATTTTGGTTTTCACCATCACTTTTTGTTTCAGTGACGGTAGTTACCAGTACAAACACGGAGACAAATCTCCTATACAGGGACACAGATAGCAATTAACACTTTATAGAGCATCTAAACCCCACTCTATTCAAAAGTAAAAATACATACACTTTAAGGTAGCCACACATAAAAAAATATAAAAACTGGACTGCAATTAAAATGAACTGTTATATATTGGAAGATTTATGTTTTTGTTCCACTTCCATAGGGAGAGCCAGGCTATGTGCTGGGGGCAGTCGATGGACTGGCTGGCCTTGGTGGTATTCCTGGATCACCTGTAAGTATGTGCATAAAAAAAGTAGAATGAATTATGTAAACGAGGCACATTTAAATAATATGACAAATTGTTACACTAAAATTCGAATACTTAAAAAGTTTTACATTGCAATACATATATAAAACGTTTGTTTCAGTATTGTATATGTGTGTGTTTTGTCATAGCATGGCAAGGTATTCTTTACTTGTCTAATTGTACTATCTTTATTACTCTAGGGTTCAAAGGGTCATTCTGGGGCTCCTGGCCTTCCTGGTCCTCCTGGCGTTCCAGGATTTCCAGGACCTCAAGGTCCTCCAGGGCTTTCTATCAAGGTTTGTATAAAATATGCATGTATTATATTGCACTAATGGCTCTTTTAAACATAGAAAAATATTAAAGGGCTAGTCTATATAAAAAGCAATATTTCACTCTCGGATGGAGTCTAGTAAGCTGAGTCAGCCAATGACACCTTACATTTCTCTGAAACTGCAGCAACAAGATCTCCGCACCATAGTCCCTGCTCCCCACCCAGCTTGCTAGCTCACACCTCTTGGCACAAGAGAGTTGTTTCCAGGTGTTCCCACTCCTTTTGTAAAGCTGGCCATACATTATGCAAATTCTGGTTCTTCAGGAACCTGCTGAAATTTGCACACTGGGTGCTGCTGTTGGCACCCTTTCGGCCGGCATCCCTTAATCAGCTGTTTGAAGGAGCTGATCAAAAAAACTTCCAAAGAACAGAGCCAGCAGCCAATGAGCTGGTTATAATACAAAAGAAGCAGCTGGGTTTCCTCGATCAACGCTTGTAAGCATTTATGGAGGAATCTGTTCCATTTTTTTCGTTCAGCCTGCAGGTTGAATGAAAAAAAATAGAACATCGTTTGGCCAGGTTTACATTTTTAAAAATCTGATGAAGAGTATATGAATCTTTGTACTCAAATGGCAAGTGTGTTGACCTGGGCACACCAATGTACCATTATCATCCTTGAGAGACATAATAAACCCCTTGCATAATTGAACTCTCCTGCATCGCTCCAAAATGGCATGACTAGACTGAACTCCGGACATAACTTTTTTCATTTACATATATGCCATAATAGCCACAGAGAATATAAATCCAGTTTATGTGCATAAAACACCTTTGCAAACCTAAATATTACAATATAAAACCAGAAATGATATTATCACCATGCTGCACATAGCCTGTGCAGAGAACAGACCTGTGGGAGGGACCCAGCAGACCTCATCCACTGTAGGCTGTCTACAGAAAACTACAGGAGGGGGTGGATACAAGACAAGTCACCCTGCTCAAAGAGATAGAGCAGCAGCAACTGGTCTTTATTACAGGAAGCTCCTGCACAGAGACAGTTTCACACTGGATTACTGCACAAACCTGGAGGAAATACACAAACCACACCAAGGTTCAGGTAAACATATATACAACTATTTTATTTGGACAATACTTGCTTATTCCAGAGTCCATATGCAAGGTTGACTTAAACTCAAATGTTAATTGGAAGATATGTTAAAAGTCTTTCAGAAATGGTTAAAGAGTAAAAATAAAAGCAGGACATATTTACCATTTTTAGGGAAACTGCTACTCTAGACGTCTTTCAGTGTTGGTCAATATGATGCTTTATTGCTATTTTAAAAATATAGCGGATACACAAGACTGAAAATAGAAACATATTTTTAAGATGTAAAAGAATGCCTGCTATTTGCATGTGTTATACAAACTACATCTTAAGCATTTTGATTCCACAAAAATGTGGGGGAGTGTGTTAAATTAGTGGTTAGTGTTAGGGTTAAAAGTTACATATTATAGCATGGTTTAGGACTAAATGTATGAACAATTTTCTTACATGATGTATTGGAGAATTATATCTATTGCCAGCGCATAAGGCTGAGTGCTTTTTGGCAGTTAGTACATTTAAAAAAAATACAGTTTCAACTTGTTACTACAGTTCCCCTATGTGTAAACAGAAAAATGTTTTCTATTGTATTTATCTGGCTCTTGTCACTTGTTTGCAGGGTGAGCCAGGTGAAACTGGAACTCAAGTGAGTATGTTTAGACCTCTTTTTTTTATTCTTGTATTTATTATGTAGATTTTGCCTTTTTTTTTTCCCTATTGGTTTTAAAAAAGGTGACAGGCATTAATCTGCTATAAGCCATAACTATTGCTTTTTCAGGGTCCTCGTGGGAAGATTGGAGCAAAGGGAGATAAAGGAGATCTGGGGGAACCTGTAAGTTATCTCAAATTGGAAGTATTTATAACTATCTAGAACATGAACAGACATTATTAGTATATCTATGTACATAAATATGACATTAATGGTATTTAAAAAAGGTCAACACCAAGGAGAAACAGGTACTTGGGTATTCTGCAAGAAAGATGGTGCTAAACACCTAGCTATCATTGCCAGATATGACTGGTACCGATAATTTTTATACTTATAGTTAAGGATCCATCAGGTATTTTTCTAATGCTAGGGATAAACAGTTTGTCTTGGTAGTTCTTGTCTGAGTTTGGTAGTATAACAGAAAGTGGGACACTGTCACTCTGAATGTGGATTACAGCCACATTGCTCCCCTACCCCAAACATAAATAATATGAATAAAAAGTAATGGAGCAACTAAAAAACTCTAACAAAAAGAACACATTGAAGAGGAGGCAAAGAAATCCACACAGCACTGAAATATTGCTAGGGTAGTTGTTCTGCAAAATTAATTGGCACGGTGAGGTCTAAAGGTTGTCCTCATACATGCTGGCAATTGAGAAGCTATATTACTTTTTGAACCAGCACCTGGGGAGTCCTGATGGCAGCTAAGGAATTGGGAGTGGTGAGATTTTCTTTGCCTCTACATATGTACAATAAGTAACACAGTAGGAATCAGTGTGATATATGCATTTACCATCAAAAGAGAAAGGGGTCTATTCCCGAAGCTGCCGAAGGATCTAACCGTAGCTTCGGCCGATATGCAATAGCCAATAGTAAACTAGCATTGTACCCGCCCTCTGCTGCAGTTCTCCATCAGGTCCATCAGCAGAGGGCATCTATAAGAATAGGCCGAACAGCAGTGAGTAGCCTGCCGGAGGTTCGGCTGAGTCGAACTCCTTCTGCACTTCGGGTTGGCCGAACATGCTGAGCATGTTCGGCCGACCCGAAGCCATGTCACTTCACTTGGGGTAGGTTGTTCACTCGGCAGCTTAGTGAATAGACCCCAAAGTGTTCATTCTAGTTATTTCCACCTTTCTATTGATCTTTTCATATCACATACATTTGATACATGGAATAAGGGCAACTCTAGTAAATGGACACATTTTAGAAAGCAACATACACTACTTAGGTGACCCAGTAGAATCTACTAGTTTGCATTGATGTGTGACATATTTAAACTTCAGTTGTGAATACATTAAGTAAACACATCTGGAACGTTATTGTCCTTTACTTTATATTGCTCTCTATTTGATGATGGAATGATTTTGGTTATAACAGGGCAGATCTGGCTTACCAGGTCCAATAGGTCTTGACGGCCCTCCTGGATTTCAAGGAACAAAAGGAGAAAAGGTAACATATGTTTTCTGGGGTAATTGAGCCTGAAAATAAATCCATTTTTATTTGTTAAAGAATAGAACAAAATTGTTATGTGCCACATGTTTTATAAATGTTTCTTTTCTGTATGCGCTTACTCTATGTAATAATAATTTGGTCTATTCTATTTATGCAACAAGGAAAATGGGATTCCACATATTTTAAAAAAGCAGGTGCTTTGCCTTTATAAAATGTAAAAATCTATTTGATTGCAGTGCAGCAGCAGTCCTTTCTAACAGAGCAATGCATCTCTTCAGTCACTTGCAATCCCCTTCCAAATGTCCCTTAATTTACATTCACAAGGTAAATATGTTTATGACATACATTGCCTTGTAATTGAAACATCATAACAAATGTAGTAAAAGCAAGAAATGCAGGGACAAAAGAGGTACTGATTTGCCATTTAATTGGCATTATTGTGCTGTAATTTCATGTATCTTTGTTTCAGGGGGAAGCAGGGGTTGGTTACCCAGGAATACCAGGTTTAAAAGGAATGCAAGGAGACAAGGTAAGACTGCACAGAAATATGCATAGAAACATCTCTATTTATGTAATAAGTTTTGCATAATGCTATTGCACAGTCCTTTATCTAATGTTATAAAAGGAACTGTCATATTTTCTTGGCGTGATAACTATAGTGAAAACTATCACTTGATAGCTGAAGCAAAACATTTTTAGTTTTGGATAGAGCTCAGTAGGGGATGGTTAAAACCCATGTCAGGATTCTTTTTTTTTCAGCCTCCTATGAAGAAAGCTCCTTCACTTCCTGTCCTGCAGACACAACAAAAAGTGAGAGAAAAGCTCTCAAAAGTTTGAAAAAAATCCCCTCTTAGATATTTAATTATTTCCTCTCTCTTTGTGTTCTGGTGACAGGTTAAAAATTTGGATTTTCCCTCACTTTCAGTCCCAGTCACAATGGCCACCAGGACAAACAGAGAGTGGTGATACATACAGCAATAAAAATATAAAAGGGGTTATAACTCTTCCTAACTCCTTCCTTCCTTTCTAAAATTAAAAAGCTGTGGCTTTAGAGACCCATTAGCACTGAAACATACTGCGTATGTAATTAACTTGTGTTACAAGTATACTAATTTGCTTGGCACCTACAGTATATACCTGTTTTATCAGTCATTCAATTCATCTATTCTCATCAAAATATCTTACATACAGGGTTATTGCTAATAATGCCTCATAGCAAAAACCTTATATGGTAACTGGTTACCCAAATTACATTTTAAAGACAGTCCCATTACTACTACAAATTACATCCTAATGTAATACATTATCTATTGCATAATGCTGACCCTATTAACCTATTTTCATAGCAATCTTATCAAGTTCCCTCAACTAATAAAGATTAATTTTGTCCAACAATATTTGCAAATCATCTGCCAAGATAAATTGTGTTCCAGGTAGGCTGTACTGAGACCCCATAGCTGTTACTTGGTAGGCTATGACTTTAGATACACAATTGCTTCCACTTAAAGTGTATTTCTAGACAAAACCTTTTTTTTTTAGCTTTGGATAGAGTAGGGAAAAATTAGACCTTCTGTAAATTTTGTATTGCTGTCTAAATTAACATTGGGCAGATTTGCCCCTTTATTTGTGACTCTTGTCAGGGACAAGGAAGTGAGGGGAAAACCAAAATTGTAAAAGCTGTTTCCAGAACAATAGATGATGGCAAATGAAGAGACGGGCACACAATAATATAGTTGTTAAATAAACAAGAAAGAACTATAGAGTAGAACAAAAATACCTTTATATAGCCATCTAATGTTTGCATTATACATACTGTATATTATCTAAACTTAAAAATGCAGACATTTGGACCTTTAATAATTCATGTTATTACTAAAATTGCTGGATATAACATTTACCCTTCCAATACATAGCAGTTGTAGAGGTTTAAGCAAAATATTCTGCCTCTTGTAATACAGAACACAGCTTTTCCTTTTTATCTGTAAAAAATAAGTCAAGGCAACTGGACTTGCTGTATTTTTCTTAAAGATGTTTCACTTGTCATCCAACCAGCTTTCTCAATTCAGAATGACTTGTACAAAAATTATCTGGGAATAAATATGGTGAAAGTTGCTCCAATCCACATGATCTGTTAGTCACAACCGGGTGTTGATTGCATTGTCATTTTTCTTCCATTGTTTACATTCAGGGAGTCATGGGACCTGCTGGACCTACTGGACTAAAGGTATATTTACAACATTCAAACAAATAATATTGCAGTAACTAAGAATACATACAGCTGCTGGGCCCACAGGCCAAATATGCCATCTTCTAGAACCAGAAAAATAACTTTCTTTGCACCCAGTATTAGGAAGAATATTATGTATCTGTAAGATATGTACACGATTATCTGTATGTATTAATACTTCAGTGTTTTACCTATACTCATACAGTTACACAGTGCTAGTAGTTCACTGTGCTGTATCTGGTTGCTCATTCATTCAGCACATTTTTATTTTGTATAACACTGACTTATACATTATTACAATATTTTGTATGAAGCATATCTATTATAGTTCTTTTACCAGTAACGTTTCGTCCTGATAGGAATATGCTACCAACAAGAATCACTCCATAAAAAGAGCTTATGTCTAAATATATTTCTTGGAAATTTATTCTTACTTTGTTTTTAAAGGGTGTACAAGGTTTGCAAGGGATTGAAGGACAAGTTGGATTAAGGGTAAGAAATTTTTTTAGCATGTGTTTAAATGAGTGCTCAGATTTATGTATTTCTGTTAGGATCAGTGTGATGCACATCTAAAGAGAAAATTGCAATCTCCCTTATTAATCATGTATGCTTATAATAGAATTTAATTTCACTGTTAAAGGAGAACTATGGGGTTAAGTCTTTTCCCCATAGTTCTCCTTAGGGTAACTGGAGGACACAAACTAGCGTCCTCCCGTCACCCTAGTCTCAGTATACAGCGAGGTGTAGCTCGCTGTATACTGATACGCCGCAGCTGAAGCGGATCCCGACAATTGTGCCGGGATCCGCCCAGCTGCGTGACTGACAGCTGGCTCTGCCTATCTAGAGGCAGAGCCAGCTGTACCCGCCCCCTTCCCCGTCCGTTGGCTGGCGGATCGTAGCGGGGAGGAGGGAATCCAGCCCCTCCCCTGTCACGGCAGAGAGCTGTGACAGGATCGAGAGGTGAGCGAACGCCGGTATATGTTCGCTCACCTCCCGATCTACTGAGCCGACCTGTGACAGTCTCATTGTCACAGGTCGCCTAGAACTATGAGGTGAGTGAAAATCACTCACCTCATAGTTCTCCTTTAAACCTTTGCTTATAATAGAATTTAATTTCACTGTTTTACCTTAATTGAGAAGATGGCATAGTCATTTTTTAATAACTCATAACTTTAATAACTTAATTTTGAGCAACATTCGGCAACCAGTCTATAGTTTGCTGTAGTCCGACTAGTAAAAGATGAATGCTTGTGGGAATGGGCAGTAGATTTCTGATTATTAGCATTTGCCTTGGTAAAGAAGCCCATACATTCTCATAACTTTGTATGTCAATTGTGTTTTCTGCATTTTATCTGCCTGTTAAAATTAACAATATTGTAGGTGTGTGTATTATTGACTAATGCTTACCTCAGTAATTAGCAGACTCACCAAGTAATATAAACAAATAATGTAAATGCAAGGCTTTTGGAGCTGTTGCGGTAAGAAACTGAGACACATTACTGTTTCTGGAAAATGTATTGAAATTTTCAAAGCACGCATAGGCAAACAACTTTGCACCAGTATGCACCAGTATTATAGCGAAATTTTGTGTTCATTTGGTGTAATCTTTCAAAGGTGGTATGCCGATGACCTGAACTGATAACTGTCCTATAGTTCATGGACTAAACCATGAATTATCTTGTTTTTTAATTTTCTCTTGCTTTTTTCTGACCATGTGCTTAGAAACCTATAAAATATTTAACAGACAGAGTATTTTAACACTAACATTATTCATTTAGGGCAAAAAGGGACAAGATGGTGAAAAAGGTGAAAAGGTGAGTGCAAAATAAATGATTTATTATCATTATATGTTATTGATCTGATAAAGACCCCATAAGTGACTCAAGTGAACTCTGAGTCCCAGAGGTGGTCCCTATCCCATTCCCTCTCTCATCCCTTTTTTTCTCCCTGTTTCTTACTTTCTTTATTTTCATTGCTCCTCTCAACACATTGGGGTCTATTCACCTAGCTGTACGGGCTATTTTGAATAGCCTGTAAAGCACCCCTTCGGTTCTACTGAACCGAAGGGGTCCTGGGGCCGAAGCTAGCCGAAGGATCGGCAAAGCTACGGCCAGATCCTTCGGCAGCTTCGTGAATAGACCCCATTGTTTCTATTCTCTACAGCAATACTTTTTTTTCAGTATTTTCTAGCTCATCCATCCCTACAGAAACACCAGCTGTCTCTTATCTACCCTGATTGGCTCTTGTAACAGAGTACTCATAGAAAATATTTTTTTTTTTGGTTGACACGTTTCACTGGGGCAGAAAGTGAAGGAAATTCTTCCCAAAGAGGGCACAGATAGCTTTGGGTATCTCAAGGACACATAATCAATTGTAATCAGTGAGTTTTATCACAAATATCTTATTGCAGAAATGCAAAAGCCCTTCAATATAAAAGCAAGTAAAAACAACTGCCACATGTCTAAAAAAAAACCCTGTGTGCAGCATAAAAACGTTTAGATGATGAAAAATTGATAATGCTATCTCTGACTGCCTATAGACCTAACATGGGTCCGTTAAGTTCGTGGAAAAAACTGAAAGGACGCTTGTGACTGGACTTTTGTGACATCCATTCAACATCTGTTCACAGATCCTGTGCTGATCAGAAGGGACACCATCCTGTGTGAATGGAGCCTTACATGAGCATCATTAGTTTAGTTGCATATAAAACTGATGAATACTGAATGAGTTCTCATCAGTTTACAGCAGATTGCATATCCGTCTTCAGTGCAGTTCAGTTCTATTTACCTGCGGTTTTCTATTTCCTACATCCATCTTTCACATGTCCATTTTTTTTTGGGGGTGGTTGTTGAAGAAAAAGCTTCTGCTGCTACTTATAAGTGAGGCTTGCCCATTTTTTGGGGTCGAAGTCTGGAACACCTTCTTCCTTCACCCTATTACTGTATTGCCAACAGGAGGTGTCCCACATGTCTGGTCTGATATTCTTGGCCATGACAGCTGCAAAAAATGGATTCAAAGAATGTAAGGCATCATACTGGATCAGTCTGAAAAACTGACAGACTGATCCAGACTGAAAGCCCAATGCGAAAGGGGCCTAATTCTATTTTAATCCACATCCATTATTAATCACTGTTTACCATGTACTTCAGAAACATTTCTCTTCTCATATGACTTGTATGTCAATATGAGAAGAGAGATGTGCCAGGAAAATCTTTAACATTATTCCATAACTCTTTTTGACTGGGGAGAATCTGATCTGTCCCTCTCTTACATCTGGAACCTGGATTAGAGTCCAGCAGGTATACTCTGGTGATAGTTGTGATTATATTTGATAATCTCTTATTAATCTAAACTAACCAAATAATATTAATTTATTATATATTTGCAGGGAGAGCGTGGTGATATAGGTCCTATTGGACCTGCTGGAAGAGCTGTAAGTGAAATGTTTTATTTGGTATTCAACAGACTGTCTTTTTTGCTTCTGCCTTTTTGGTTTAGCAAGAAAGAGTTACCTAGTATAGTTCTTTCACTGACAGTATCTAAATATATAACATAAATGGAAAGGTTGTTTTGCCATTGCCATTTTTGCTTGGGGGGTGACCTCTTTTTTATTGTTTTATTTACTACATCACTTTGTCATGATTGTGGTTGGTGCTCTACTGACATTTGCTGAGCACTTCATGTTAAATTGTGAGTCTTGTTTAGCAAACCCTACTTTAATTACATATAGCAATGTTGCAGTGTGGCAGAAAAGGATGTATTCTGCTACACTCCAACTGTTCTTCCTCTACACATTTTGATAAATAATGTCCCATATTTTAAAACTATATCCTGTGAGCGATATATTTCTGTACATTATTGCATAATCAAAAGGTTTTTATTTCCTGAAATGATATCATCTAAAAAATATCCTACCTCTACTACACATGGGCTGTGATAGATAGATAGATAGATAGATAGATAGATAGATAGATAGATAGATAGATAGATAGATAGATATGTGTGTGTCAATCAACATATTTACCCTATGATATTACTTTTTTTCTAATAGGGTCTGCCGGGTCCATCTGGGCTAAAAGGTGACCAGGTAAGCTAGATCACTTATATTGTATGTCCTGTGATAGACATGCAGCTATCTTACTGTCTTAACTCATGAATAGGTCCTTTTTCTCATGTCTCAATAATGTCAAGTTATGTTTTATTTCAGCAACATTCTAAATGGGAGATTTAAAATGTTCTATTTAGCATGTTAAATCCTTCCTAAAGTGTTTCCACATTTTCAGTTAAATTCAAGAAAACCCCTCTATCAGGGTTATTCACAAAAGGGTGAAGAATTTGAAGAACGTTTCATCCTTCAGTGAATAACCCTGTTTATGTTTCTTAGGTGTTCCTATTCACACAGCATACCAAAAAAAAATTAAAAAATATTTCTTACCCGTTTTGTTTTGTTGCAGAAAGCAACATGACTGACAACAACAAACAGTTTTTTTCTAAGCAGCACCTTCACAGTGATCTGTCCATTTGGAAAGACATAGGACTGAAATTTGTGTTTCTCTCATTAACTGCAATAACATTTAATGGAGAAGCTACGGTTGCAATTCTTTAACTACTAACTATTCACAGCCCCTTATAACATTACAAAGAAGGAGAAGCAAGTAGAAATGTTAACCCTTAAGAAGCCAAGAGACCCTTAACCAAGTAAAACCAATTTACAACTGCATGAAGTATTTTTAAAATATTTTGTAGCTTAAGCTATTTGGAACATGTAACAAATATAAAATAGATGTTTCCCAACCCGCACTCCTTCAGTACATTCAACACCGCGATTCATAGACTCATGCTACTAGACAAACTAGATGCACAATTTGACCTGCAACGCACAGGCATAGTTTTTGACACTTGGTCCTGATATTTGACGTCTGAACTTCCTACACACCAGTTACGGGACATTTTGTCCACCTTCCAATACTCCCCATGGTTCCTCAAAGCTAAAATTGACGGCTCCCTTGGTGCATTAGACGTTCTCTGACATTCCTTAAGCCCCTCTGACATTCCATAAACCCTTCAAATACATTGAGATTATCTGATCTCTTCCCCTTCCACCCATCCAGCGGTTCCTCCCAACTGTACACTAATTTGTGTGATCCATGGTCTACTACAGTGTCGATGCTTATCTCTCTCTTATTTCTCTCTTATCTTTTCTTCTCCCTGATGATGTTTCATGTTCCTGTTTCTCTTTGAGTTGTATGGACTATATAATATATGGTGATGTTCCCTATGCCATCCCCTTGATGTCAAACTTGTGGCAAAGTTATATGGTCCTGTATTGTGTCACCACCACATGTAGTGAAAACATTTGGAATTTTTTGTGACAATGTATCATCACTGTATACTTTGCAATAATAATAAAAATTGATTTGCTAAAAAATAAAATAAAATAGATGTTATGCCAATTTGGCTGCAAATGTGAAAATACACTCTAAGTTTCATGGGTCACATGCCCCTGCTATGTTGGATAGGAACCAATGTAATACCATCAATTCTGTTCACCTTACCATGAAATGAAAGAGACACATCACACTGGAGAGGACTTTTGTGTGGTCCCCCTTTCTCCCCCCCCCCCCCGCCGCAGCCGCCCCACAGCCTATAGCATTTTGTCATTTGTTACTGGTGACATTGAGCAAATAAAATATGATTTCTATACAAGATGTATATAGTGCCAACAGTTTTCACTGCAGTTTACAAAAAAGAAAGACAGTACAGTTAAAAATACAATTCACTACAAGAGGGCTAGGAAAGTCCTACTTGTGGTACTTTATAGTTTAAAAGGAAGGGGCAAGTGAAACAAAAAGTAATAATTTTGAGTGGTTAGCTGATAAAAAAAAAAGTACACTTTTTAGGTGAAGGCAGAATAGGCTTCTCTAAAGAGTTGAGTTTTCATCGATCACCTGAAGGTGTAGAATAGGAGATAGCCAGACATATTGGGGTAAAGAGTTCCAGAAGAAGGGTGAAGTTTTGTAGAAATCCTGGAGGCAAGCATGGGAGAAGGAGATGAGGTTGGTAAAGGGCAGGAGGTATGGGGAGGAGTGGAGTGGATGATCAGGTGATATTTTCAGACAAATATATGAAACAATGTGATGTAGCTTGGTGCCTAATTGTAGATGGCTTTGTATGTTATTAGTATTTTGAATTTTATTAGTTAGACATGTAGAAGTCAGTGGAGGGACTGGCGGCCGCTAAACAGTTGATAAGGTAGAAAAGTCTGGCAGCAACATTAATGGTGGATAGCCTGTGTAGGGGAAGGCTGAATGGGAATTGAAATAGCTGAGGTGACAGATAACAATGGAATTAATTAGTAGCTTTGCGTGTCATTTGTGACGAAAAGGTGAATTTTAGAAATTAAGTTTAATTAATTTAGCCCAGGATTACACCCAGCGTCCTGGCATGAGGAGGGGAGAGAGCTGATGGTTGTCCCTCCTGACACAGAAGGGAAAAGGAAGAATTATTATCAGCTAATTTTGGGAAAGACTGAGTTTGAGGAATTGTAATGATATCCATGATGATATGTCAGTTAGTAAATTAGTGATGCATGGGGAGACTGAAGAGGTAAGCTGAGAATTAGAAAGATAGATTTGATTGTTGTTAGCATAGAGATGGTATTAGAAGCTGTAGGGGTTTATTAACTGACCCAGCGAGGAGGTGTAGAAAAAGGAGGAAGGAGTCTGAGGATGGAGCTTTGGCAGACTTCTTCAGAAAGAGGAAAAGGAGATAGAGTTGGAGGTGACACTGAAGGTACACTGAGAAACATAGGAGAAGAACCAGAAAGGAGCTGAGCCTTGGAGGCCTATGTTTTTTTGAGAAGTAGTGGATGGTCAACTGTATCAAAGGCAGTAGAAAGTTCTAATAGTATAAGTATGAAGTAGTGAGTATTGGTTGGAGCAGTAAGTAAGTCATAAGCAAGTTTTAGGAGGACAGTTTTAGTGTGCTATGAAAGAGATGCATCACACTGCTGAGATACTACTGTGTTCCCCCTCACAGTAGTATCTAGTACCAGTTTTCTCGGAATTCAGAAATACAGCCAGATTGACTTATAGTGCATAACCTTTCATTGTAAGCCTGATTTCTGCATTGCATTTAGTGGAAACCATAAACAATAATATCAGGAGGTTTTGATTGATTTAAAAAGAAAAAACATTAAATGATTTGTACAGCATACAACTACCTGGAGTTCCAAGGTCCATTACAAATCAGGACTTCATTTTAAATCCAGCTTCATTACACTTTTTAACCAGGAACAAATAATATTAAGCAGTGTTCTTTCTTTTTTTCCAGGGCATTCAAGGTTTTCCAGGAGCTCCAGCAATGGGGGTAAATACTGGTTCTCAAGTATTCACCAGCTTGTGTAAACACAGTTTAAAGTTCCCATAATTTCTTATTTGTTTAGTATATATTTTAGAACAGAAACTATAAGTCTCTTTGCAAATACACACTGGGGAGACTTACAATTAAAAAGTGGTTAGAGTCAAGTTTAAGTCTATTGCAGTAGTACTGTAGAGCAGCTAAGGGAGGACTTTATGAATGAAGCTGCAAAATGATTACAAATATGTGCTAAATCTGTCTCATTGCACCTGTTTAACACTTCCTGGACTGATAAATTCCCCTACTCCCCACAGTATTTCTGGACATGCAAACTTACTTCACCAAGTGAACCCTTCAAAAGGTTTCTTCCTGTAAATAGGACCTTGCGCCTTATAAATGTTTTATGTGGATTAAGGGTTATTTTTGGCGGGGTGGGAGTTGGGGTTGGGTGGAGAGCTTCCTGAGGCCTTACCCTTCATTCCATTTTCTATAGGTATATTAATATTTTTTTTTTATTATTTCTATACCATCTCATTTACATTTGGGGAAATCAATAAATACATAAAGTGGCACCAGTAAGACGCAATAAATAATAGGAGAAATATAAGGTTTGGTCATCAAGAATATGAGATCACCTTTTAGAGTATATTTTATATGGCAAGGAAAGTATGTAGGAGGTGGTAAAACAGCATTCAACATGGTGATGCAACATAGGCAATTACATCATCTGATGCTGCGCATGCATGAGTAATTACATCATCAATAAGTAGTGGTAAGATCAGTATGCATGTCGCTAGTGGAGATTTTGTTTTTTAAATGGCATTACAGGCACTGTCACTAGTTGAGACACAAGCACTATTTACCTCTGATGAAGCCATGATCATAATGATGTATCATGTTAGGGGTGGGTTAAAAAAATAGCTAGAGGGAGAGATCATGAGCTGGATAAAAAAATTAGTAAATAGGGAATCAAAGGTAAAAGTAATTAAAAAAACAAAAACAAAGAAAGGAAGATTGAGGGATAAATATTAGATAGTGAAATATATGATGGCAAATTTCTTATCTCCTTTGAAAATGGTGTGGGTGCAAATACAAAAAAGATAAAATAAAAATTGATGTATGTAGGTACAAAGATCATTTTAATGGAGGGTTAATAAAAGTTATTAGTTCATTTAAGTTAGTTATGTTAGTTAGTTAAGTTGTTTTAAGGACCCTGATGGGGTGGACTTACAAATGGTAATGCACCTCATATTCATTGCATTATTTGAAAGAATGCAAACCCCAGATATGGTGTATGGTATCTAGAAAATTACCCTCCTGAAATATAAAAGTATAGGTATTGCATATATTCACAGCATTTACTATATCTGACTGTGCCAAGGAAATGTTATCATTTAATAATTATGAGCTTTTTTAAATGTATGTATTTTGTGCTTCATAGGTAGTTGGCCCTACTGGCAAGAAGGGTGCTAGAGTAAGTATACAATTCAGGTAAATTGCCCAGTTCAACATATAACATTTGCATTGCAAAGTTGGGAATAATGTACAAAAAAGTGATTAGCACCAGGGTGCTTACCTTTGTGTGTAAGTACGTATCTCTCCACATCTGACTATGTAAATCTGGGTATCCAGGTGTAAGAGTGACCATACATTGCTTGATTAAAGCAAATAATGTAACCAATCTGTGCACTGACTGGGACAAAAAGAGCCATAAAGGTGTAATAACTAGGTATGGAGGTGCTGGTTATTACATATGGAGATAACCTATCTTTCTGTCTTTGAGCCACTGTTCTACAAATGTTTTTTTTATTTGCTGAAATGAGAGAAATAATGGTGGTATATGTGAAAATCCAAGCAGAACTTGATGAGATCTGCTTTCTATGGACAATTCTAATATATAGTTTTCAGAAATGAAAACTCTAAACCTAATAAACATACCTTACAAAGTTGTTTTTAAAGTGACTTTCAAGCATATGGTACTGAGAAGCGATGATTTCATGAATATATTTGCTCCCACAGAATTTATCAACAGCGTGTTGTAAAAGTGCAATACATTTGCATATTTTTTAGAACTCCATCGGCTTGTTAAATAACCATCAAAAAAACTATGTTTAAACCTTCAGCAGCTTCTAAAACTCTCCTGTCACAGCTGAATACAAGGCTGTTTCAACAGGCAAAGCTCCAGCACTGTCAGGTAGTGTCAGTGCTTGCCGTTAAGTCCCACTCACACACATTGACTCATCGCTATCATGAGCTGCCTCTATGGCTAGAAGGAATGTGGAGAAGGTAGGAAGGGCTGGATTAGCTTTACTCACAATCTTGCCGGTCAGAAAATCTCAGTGTTTTACCACAACAGTAGAACATCAGAGCCTTCTACTGCATTTTCTGATTTGCTGTGTTTTGCATCTGTGTACTATCCCACATCAGTCTGGAACCTGTATGCACTTTTACATACATTTTTTATAGTTAAATCATATAGTAAAATATATATATATATATGTATATAGTATGATATTAAATATATACATTTCTTTATTTGTCAGGGTGACATTGGACCTGTTGGGCCCCAAGGTCCTAAAGGCATCAAAGGAGATCGAGGAGACAAAGGAATTAAGGTATGACACAAAATGCACAAAACAAGCACAATTCCAACACCTTAGGCATGTATTTTAGTGCAAACCTTTTGAAGTTATAAATAAATTAAATAAATACATACATACAGTGATCCTAATCATCATAGGTGCTGAACTAGAAAAGTTACAATGAAAATGTGATTGGTTATTATGGCTGGTTGCAATCTTTTTTTGTGCACAAATTGTCATAGGAATCTCCCATAAAGATGTGATTTACAAAATCTGGTGGAGAGCAACAGCTTAGAAAATGAAAGCCAAGATGTTATTGGTTTTGATACCTTGCTATTTATGCCTGAATTTCTTATTCTTGCCCTAAAATTCAGCAGATAAAGAATGCATTTGAGTAGAAAGTAATAGCGAAAGCTTGCTTTCAAATAATTGCTTTGTTAAACGATTCAAAGCTGAAATCCAGGCAAGCAGTTTAAATACATGAAAGAGAACTGTTTTACTTGCCAAAGGATTTGTATTTCTGTTCCTTCAGTTCTTACATTTACATAACTTTGCCAGACAGCTCTGTCTAGCAGGGAAGGGAGGAGACCTGATCTTTCTCTGTGCAGATTTACTTTCACTTACAGCTCCTCTCCCCACCCGCACCCTGTGACTGGACTATGCTCCTTCCATCCATACACATCATTCAAGACATTTCCAATATGCTAAGACCAAATTTATTTTTCCAGAATGGAAATCAGGCCATTAGTTCTAATATAATTTGCAAATGAATAGTAAGGTGTTTCTAGACGTGCCTACTGTATATTTGATGTTAAAATGAAACACAGTTTTGATGAAAATGCTCAATGTTGACTTTTCAGAATTTACAAGCTAAACCTTTCTGTAAAGGCATTTCTCCAAAGTATCATGATATTAATTTAAACTTTCTTTTATTTAAGGGAGAACCAGGCTATGGGATCCCTGGCCAGGCAGGGCCAAAGGGAGATCCTGGTGATAGAGTAAGTAAACGGTGCACTTATTCTAGACTATTTTTAACTAAAGATTGTATTCCAAAATATAATAGGATGTGTAATCATTGGTATTAAAAAAAGACGTGAAGGCTTACAATCAACCTGCATACGGTAAGAGAACTACATGAATTATTTACTATAGATTTTATCATTAGTTAACTGTCTGTAAATCTGTAAGCCCGTAGGGTATCAAGGTGAAATGATTTAAAAGGAGAGCTGAAAAACATGCACTCTCTTTGCAATGTCTATCACGTCCACCTTAAAAGTCTTGCCGATCATCTGCTTTCCAGTACTGCTGAATAGCTCAGAGACTACCAGCACCCAGCAAATTATTACTAAGCTTTAGATGGCACAGCCTGCATTGGAAACCAATGCTTTTCCTAAACGGTGCTGTGGCACCCAAAGAAAGTTGTGCTGTCCAGACACTGACTGCGTTTGGAAATACATTAAAGAAGAATGGCCTTTCACATATGAATGAAGAGAGGCAACTAGCTCTAAGGAGTGAGGGCTCCACTGCTCACTTAAAAGAGCTGGTTACCAAAGGTTCTAATGAGGAACAAGCATAGATGTTTTAGGGCCCATTCACACCATGTTGGGATCAAATCTAGACCGTTACGTGTTTCTCCCACACAAAAAATGCATCCCATTGTATTTGTATGGGATTTATGGGGTCTGTTCACACCAGTGCAGTCTGTTCCAGTGTAGGGAAAAAAAATACTGCATGTCCCATTTTCTCTGCACTGGAACACACACAAGCGTGTTAAAAAATGCACTGGAATGCACTGGAACACAACAGAATGAATAAAAAAAGGGAGCTTTGGATAAATAACACATATCACCTTCGAATAGACATAGGAGTATAGCAAAAAAACGTTTCTAGATGTGCCAGCAAGTCCTCCTATAAAGTAAAAAATGTACCCTTTGATTCTCTTAGCTTCAAAGGCGGGTGCACCCAAAAATAATGTCTCCTGTGAGGATTGCAATAGCAATCACAAAGAATATGCCTGCATACAAACAAAACATGTCTGTTTACCAGCTTACTCACACAAGGGGAAGTGCTTTGAAATAAAGCAGGAAGTAACCTCAGCAATTAATCTGCATAATGACAACCCATAAAAAAATGCCCCGGAACGTATCAAAAGTGCATCACAAAAGCACCACGTGTGCAGAAACGGGTGCAGATCTGATCCAGACATGTTGTGAATGGGCCCTTTCCCTTTGTTAAAAACACTACCCATATACTACCATTTTAGGCAACTAGTGAAACGAAGTCTTTGCAACATTCTCGGCACTTTCATAAGGAACCTTCACACACAACCAAAGATGTTATATTATTGTTATCTTTTCTCTTATGACGTGGAACACGTTTTAGTGGATCAAATCAGTAATAACATGCCATGCACATTATGGGCAAGGCAAGTCACATTTACCATTTATTCATTTTTGGCTCTGGATGTGGAAAGCACAGCTTGGTATTTGGCTCCAGCATGTTCAATTTATGATTTCTTTTAAAGGGAAACATTGGATTATCTGGAAAACCAGGTCCAAAAGTAAGTTTTAAGTATATTTAAATATTTTCTAACTCTGTAACCATTTATTTAACCTGTTATTATTTGAAATTATTACCAAGTAGAAAGGGTGCAAAAGTGTATGCTTTGAATAAATCTCTAGAGATATCTGCGTCCCTATATGACAAAGAGTCATATAGTAATGTTCTTGGCCAATCTATTAAATGATTGAATATCATAAATATATTCCAGATTTAATGCAGTGGGGTTGATTTACTATAGAAGTGGTCATTGCAATGAATGTTGGTAAATAAAGTGAACTGTATTCACTTTCAAAACGCAATCATATACAAAGGAAATTAATTGCTTCCCAGCCGGCCGTTGTAATTAAACGGCCGGCCAGGAGCTTCCTGGATGTAATAGGCCATCTAAAGGCAGCCTGTTAGCCCCGCCCACTCGTGCGCACCACACGCAAGCAGGAAACTGTCAAAATTTAAAAACAGGCAGCGATGCCTCTTTACATACAAGCGATCCGCCTGCTATAGAGCCGCCGGATCGCATGTATGAGGTGTCGATCTGTGTGCCTCTGCCCCCACACTCCGCAGCGCTGATCTCAAGCTCCACTGTGCCCGGGGTGGGTCGGGACCAGCACGGCAGCTCTGTAAAGGAGATCAGAGGGAAATCAGTACACGATCTCCCTCCGAGACCCTCTCTGGTGTCAGAATGCGGAAGTGATGTATAATACATCACTTCTGCATTCTGCTGTCACTCATAAAAAATTATTTTAAAAAACACAAACATGTTTAAAAGTCCCCAGACCTACATACACGCACGCAAACATGTGCATATGTATGAAAACGACGATTGTGCCCATTACACCGCATATGTTGCATATCACCGCGAACGCGAGTGAGAGGGCCATTATTCACTGATCACAATAAATTGATGAGCGGTAAAAGCTTTTAAAGCGTTGACTGTGGCCAATTTTGGGTATGGTATTTTATTGCGATTTTGCAGGCGCACGCAATTTTAAAGCTTGACATGTAAAAAATATGGTTAAGAATAAATGTTTTTGGGGGAATTTACTGTACTTTTTTCATTATATAGTAAAAAATAAAAGCCCCCAGTGGTGATTAAATACCACCAAAAGAAAGCTCTATGTGTCCCCAAAAAATGGTGTAAAATTTATTTCAGTACGACGTTGCATGACGGAATAAATGTCAGTCAAAGTACCGCAGCGCTGAATACTGAAAAATGGCCGGGACAGGATGGGGGTGTAAACACCCCAGTCAGCACGTGGTTAAAGAAACAGGAATTATTTCAGCACTTTATTGGGAATTCAAAGTGAGCACAGGTACCTATTTACTAATGTTCACTTTGCAAAATGTACATACACTTTTCAAAGTGGACATTCCCATTAGACATTGCACATTGGACACAGTGGGCATTTCTTCTAAATGAATAGCTTCTACTCCTTTAGTAAATCAAACCCATTAACTGTGACTATACTTACATTATGATCCCATGTAACTGTTTAAAGATCTTGCTCAGCAGTGAAATTGTTTACTGTGACCCATTTTGTTATAGCTTAGAACTTTCAGATGATGCAAACTATAAACTGCAGACTAAAACTATGAAATATCATCAACTTTGTGTAGGGGTACGATGGTGGCAAAGGACAAAAGGGTGAGCCCGGAACAAGTTGGACCATGCCTGGAATAAGAGGTAAAGATGTAAGTAGAAATGGTAGAGTCCTAGCAGGACAGTCTAATCATGTGCACTATTGAAATATTTTATTGGGGAATCCAGGAACATAGCCATAGAGTGTAATTATTTACAACAACCGTCAAGCATATACATCTCCTGATGTAACATTAGCCATATTGAATTCTTCATTGCTCTATTCAGAAATTAATTTATTTAGTTGCTTTCTCCTTTTATTTAATATTTAGTTTTTTACATTTTTTTATTAACTTAAAATGTATTTCAATAATGATTACTTAAAAATGATATATGGTCATACATACTGGGGGGGGGGGGGGGGGTCCTAATAAA